TTCTGTCCGGCCCAACCTTCACAAACAACCACTGATTTTCCAAGAGGAAAGTGAGTTAATTCCTACACCCCACTAGAATGTACATTCTCCATCTCAGTCAACATGGCACAACGCCACTCCGGATGTGACAGTTCGTCATATGTGGTTTTAGGAATATGAACATGAGATAGGTCTGAAATAAATGCGTACTAAGGGACTGAGAGATGGTGATACCTTAAAGAATTATTGATGTAGTAAAGTATTACAACAATAGCTATATTTTTTTTTTTTTGGATAAACTGTAAATATATTATTATCCAAAGTAAAGGTTACAAGGTTTCAAAAATTTAAAGCTCCCCCCCACCCCCCTGTAAAATAGGAAAGGGTCAGAAGAAGCTTTCAATCATCAATCAACCTCACAAATAAATGCTAGCCAAAGGGCAAAAATATGCCGCGGCCCAAAAAATCAGGAGTCACATAGTAAACTATGTGGCAGGATGCACGCAGTCACAGACTTCAATTCTAGTACAGAGGCTCTCACCACATCCATAGTGTCCTTTTCAAAAGGTGATCAACTCGGGTGGGTATATGCTGTAAAGTACCTTATATACCACGTGTTTGACTTTGGCAACGACTTCTTCTTCGGTCTTGTTTTTGTCATCAAATCGGCATTCATTTCTAGCGTGCCAAATGTAGTACACAGTTGCACAGAAAGCAGTACGGCCAGCTTTTGCCTTTAGTGTTGAGCCTCTATAAGTCTTCTTGATCCATTTGATCGAACTCAACAAAGATGACATCTCATGCCTTAGGCCCAGCCAACTTCTTATGTGGTGCCATACCCTACAAGTAAAGGGGCAAAGGAAGAAAAGGTGTGGTATAGTTTCCAAACCACCCTTGCACAGATCACAACGGTTCACAATATAAAGGTACCCGAGGCTATCCTGTGTAGGTAGTCGGTTCCTTAATGCAAGCCAAATATTAAATGAGAATTTGGGTGGGATGTACGATTTCCAAATGAAACTCATAGAAGCCCTACCCTCACCTTTGACTCTAAGTAGATCATAAATCTTGGCAGAGGCCAGCTTACCATTAGTGGATCTTGAAGCTAGGCCCATAATAGTGTCATTTAGGTTATTGAAACATCCACAGATTTTATCTCGTATGAGACTCAAACGCTTCATGAGCTGTGAGTCTCTGGTGTGTGGGCTGAAATTCCACACATTTCTACCTTGAAGGTATACCTCATTAATCCATTTTACCCACAGGGTGTCTTTCTTCGTATGGACGTCCCACAAAGTCCGGGAGAGAAGGGCATGGTTCCACACCTTGGCATTATGAATGCCAAGTCCTCCTTCCTCTTTTGGGAGACAGATGTCATCCCAAGCTACTTTTGCGAACTTACCACCCCATAGGAAAATACGACAAATCGATACAATTCTATCCAAGATAGTTTGGGGAACCGGGAAGACTTGGAGCCAAAAAGATTGAACCCCTTGGATCACAGATCGTATTAACTCTAGCTTACCGGCATAGGATATCGTCTTGGTATTCCAGGCGTTTAAAAAGTCGTTGACCGTGTCAAGTAGAGGAGCATATTGGGCCACGGAGATTCTAAGCGGTGCTAGTGGGATTCCAAGGTATCTCACCGGGAATACTCCACGACCATAATCAACGAGGTCCAATATGTTCTGTAGTTCCAGCCCATTATGTAACACTTGAGATTTAATATAAATGGATTAATAGTACTACTCATACCAACAGAGGTGCATCTCCTTTTACGGGAGCTCATCCGCTAAGAACTCCAAAGTTAAGTGTGCTTGCACGGGAGTAGTCTTGGGATGGGTGACCCCCTGGGAAGTTTCTCAGGGCGCGCATGAGTGAGGACAAAGTGCGCGGTAAAGGCTTGTGGTGGTTTGTGGGGACAGTACTGGAGGTCCAGAGTAACTACCTCGGGTCCTACGGGGCCGGGGGGTTACAGGTGGTATCAGAGCAACCCCGCGACAGTGTGATGACTCGTTGGATATCGGGCGGGCACTTAGCGGGGGAAGATTCTGGGATTTGATTGAGATTTGAGATTGGTTCAAGGGCGCAACGAGGACGTTGCGATCCTAAGTGGGGGTGATTGTAACACTTGAGATTTAATATAAATGGATTAATAGTACTACTCATACCAACAGAGGTGCATCTCCTTTTACGGGAGCTCATCCGCTAAGAACTCCAAAGTTAAGTGTGCTTGCACGGGAGTAGTCTTGGGATGGGTGACCCCCTGGGAAGTTTCTCAGGGCGCGCATGAGTGAGGACAAAGTGCGCGGTAAAGGCTTGTGGTGGTTTGTGGGGACAGTACTGGAGGTCCAGAGTAACTACCTCGGGTCCTACGGGGCCGGGGTGTTACACATTAACCCCCCCAACGAAAATGTTGGATTTATTATGATTAACTCGGAGGCCTGATGCGTCTCCAAACTCTTGAAGAGCGTCAACCAATATCCGAATAGAATATTTGTCCCCTCTCGAAAAAAGCATGAGATCATCCGCATAGGCCAGATGAGTAATTCCTAATGAACCACAAAGAGGGTGGTGGTTAAAATGTGAATTTTGTGTTTTTATGGTAAGGAGGCGTGAAAAATATTCAAGGCATATAACAAAGAGCAAAGGGGACATTGGATCCCCTTGTCTAATGCCTCTCTTACCTTTAAAGAAACCATGCAAAACACCATTCAAAGATACAGAGAAAGAAGCGGTAGAGACACATTCCATAATCCATTCTACAAATCTATCGGGGTAGCCCATACCCTTAAGGACGTTGGCAAGAAAATCCCACGATATTGTATCATAGGCCTTTCGCAAATCTACCATTATCATACATCGTGGTGAGATTCGCTTCCTATTGTATCCTCTAACAAGTTCCTGGGCAAGGAAGATGTTATCAAACATTAGGCGGCCATCCACAAATGCACCTTGTGCTTTGTTAATCAAACCCGCAAGGGTGGGGATTATTCTTGCCGCAATAATCTTCGTAATAATCTTGTAAAGTACATTAGTACATGAAATAGGTCTATAATCCGAGACCTAACCCAAATTTAAAGCATTACAACAATAGTCATATTTATAGCTACAATTAGGTCTAACTACTAGCCTAATGCAAATTGGGTTAGGGTTTCAACATTTGTCACCAAACCCAAGTAGTTTGCTTTAAGGTGGCGATGATGATGATTGATTGCATCCTACATATGGATTATTCTTACTTTGCTTTATCATAAATGAAGGGTTTTGCATCGGTGGGCTGAGCATTTGCTCAACATAACATTTGGAGGTAAACTTCTATATCTGTTCTAACTTTAAATTTGGGAAGAAAGAAATATGGAAAATACAATATGTTGAGAAAACACTTCATTTGTGAGGGGAGGCAAGACAAGGATGGAATGTAAATTGGAAAACACTTCATTTGCGAGGGGAGGCAAGACAAGGATGGAATGTAAATTGGCCTTACTTTGCAACCATTTTTCCAAAATGAAATAATATCACTATTTATTACTCCCTTCATCCCATAGAGAGCTTCCCGATTCGGTTTACGATGCTTAACTGACGATAAATCAACTTGATCCCTATTAACACTCTGATTATTTTTAGTTAATAAAATTTATATATTCAGAAAATACATTGAGATTTTTACAAAGCCTGATCAAGAAAATTTAAATTTGATAAAAGTTTAATATATAAAGCAAAAGTTTAAGAATAATTTAAGTTGATCATGTGAATAGTGGTTTGGAACCTTTTAATGAGACGGAGTAGATAGTATAAAACATGTTTTTCCCTGCATCTTAAATTTATTGTTTATGTTGTGATGGCTAAAACTGTAAATCTATAACCTTTTAACTTTATTTTCCTTCCAAAGCCCTTTATACCCCTCTAAATGTCTTTTACTCAATGGTGATTACATTGCAGGGCACTCATCTAGTCATCTTGTTTGTAGCAGCTGGTGCAATTCGCGAGGCACAACTACCGGACACAGCAGCGTTGTTTACTATCCAGTTTGGATTTTGATGACATGTCATCGGAGAAGGATAAATTGGTTAGTTTGCCTGTACTGAGTCCTGAGAACGAAGAAGCAAATGCAGTTGTTTAATACGAAGTATTATGTGCAATACCAAAGAAGTCTCATCCATCTTTGCATGGACTCACCGCCTTACTCCAACTAAGCAGACCTCAGAATTTTTAGTCACCTCCAGTGAGTCACAATCACGATCTGAACACATATAAAAGTTTGCTTCTTTTCACCATTGTCAGTTTTTTTGGATCTCTCTTTTGGAACTGATTTTACTCCTAAAACTCGGAATCAGAATAATTTTCTGGGGTGTTTGGCTGACAATTGTGAATTCTTCTTCACCTGAGATTCAGGTTTGATTACTTTGATGTTAAACTATCAAAAGGAAGATGATATCTCTCTTGATTAATTAATTTGTTACTATCCATCTATAAATTTTTGTTATTACCATATTTAATTATTTATTATACATCTCATTTATTTGTTGAAATAAATGCATTTAGGGAATCATTCTTACACCATTCAAAATTCTAGCTTTCAAGAATCTTACCATAATTGATGGTCTCTGCATCTTTCATTTTGTGTTACTTTATCATTAATTAACTGTGTTAATTAAATTATACTAAAAAGATTCAAACTGGACCAGGAACTTTCAAATGAGGCTGGATATTTTATTTGACAATAAAATTTTGTAATATAAACATGTTCACTTTTAACAAATTATAAGGTACATGTGTTCAAGGTACTCGCGACGCCCATTATTTAAATGAAATACTTATGGGAGCAGTTACGTTAACAGAACATGGCTGGTTGAATCATCGCTATTAGACATTTTAATTCGTGATGGAACTAACAATTCGTCATAAAGAAGTTAAAGAACCATTAAACATTTGCCAGCTTAAGCGTATCTAGCATGAGGCAGTGGGGAAACTGTCCCAATGAGTTTTTTAACAAGAAATTAAATGATGTCATTTTGGCATTGACTTGTAAAGTTAAATGACACACATTTTGAATGAATCAATATTAAATGGAGTTTTTTAAAAATGAAAGAGGGGTCAAATATAGTATTCTCGTAAATTTGTCATAAATTTTTCATAAAGAGATCGGTACATCATATAACTTTAGAAAGTTTCGCACATCATATAACTTTAGAAGGTTTGCACATACTTTGGTCGATATGGTGCTTGCTTCATCAAGAGATCGGTACATGAATAGAGTGTCATAGCCCCTCTGATCCGAAGGTGTGGCAATCTTGTCAGCCACTTCTATTACTAACTGAGGTAATTGGCGGGCAATTTCCTCACAGCATTGATGAGTTACCCCGCATGTTGAAATCTTCACAAATTGCAGCCTGTAAAAATGATGCAAAAGAGAACGCAAAGCTGAATCTCCAAATTGGAAATCACTTATCTCAAGCTTTAGTAACTTAGGGCAACCGTCGAGCACAAATTTCAGCCCCATTTCATTCTTTCCAGCAACACCAACACACAAAGTACGCAGTGATTTCCCATACTGTCCAATGTAACATAAAGCCTGGTCTGTCAATAAACCAGATGTGTGAAGGCGTCTAAGCTTCTTACAGTTCATAAGAATCGCCCCAAATCCTTCATCCATCGATTCCCGCGTAGAGTAGTTCCGGCTTTGCCACCCCGGTGTGTGGAGACGGAATACCAAAAGATCTGGGCAGTTCTTTGATAGTCCAACAAGAGCTGCATTAGTCATTCTCTTGCAGAAATATAATATGTATTCTAGTCTCCGGCAACCCTCGGAAATTGCAAGCAAACCAACTTCAGACACGTCAATGTTGTCATCATCATAAGCATACTCATCCAGGAAAACACGAAGCTCTAGCAGATCCTTACATGTTGCTGCCACTGCCTCGAGTCCTTCGTCCAAGACTCTAGCAGACACCCACAGGCTCTGTAGTTTATGGCAGTGAAAAATGACCTCTTTGAAATGTGAACAGCTGATGAGAGTACGTTTGAGATCGAGAGAGGTCAGGTTGGCACAAACGGTATACAGAGCAGGTAGATAACTAGGAAGTTCATCCCTGAGTCCAGAAATAGAAACTAATGAATTGCATACAGCAAAAGCAGAAGCATAGTGAAGTGCTAGTTCACCCGCATAAGCTTCTTGTTCACTTGAATACATAAATATACCTATTCCTAAATGGGTGAGCTGAGGAGCTTTGATCATTAGGTGATAGAGTTGGCCTATAGAAACCAGGTAATCCAACCTAAGTTTCTTCAAACAAGGAGACCTTGTCACCAGCTGCTTCAAAGCTTCAAAATTCAAACACTCTGACATCATAGAATATTCAAAGATCAAAGACTCCAGAAATGTATTATCACCAGGGAAGCATGAAATCCAGTCCACATCGTTACTATGAACATAGCATTCAATCACGTCAAATACCCTTAATTTCCTGCATTCTCTAGCAACCCTACCAAGTCCATAGGTCCCGAATCCTCTACAATGGACTAACACAAGCTCCTTCAAATTCGGGCATGACAGAGCCAGGATCTCCAAATCATCGTCCGAGACAGCGTAGTTTTTGAGGTACAATTTCTCGAGTGCTGGATAAGCCTCGGCAATGACGGTGACCCAGGGCTCGAAACGCGCATCCCGTGACAGAGAGCATAAACCCCCATACTGAGACTTGAGCTTGAGAATCAATGAGGTGAGCTGACGGAACCGAGCTGCGACGCGCTGGGGCGGTAGGGCAAAGCCGTTTCCGATGAAGACCTCGGATCTGGTCATCGCCTCCGCGCGGTACCAGGACTTGCGGACGAGTGAGGCAGCGTTGCGATCGTGGCGGTCTCTAACGAAGCACAGTATATTCTCCAACAGCTCCTGAGGGACCTGGTCAAAGTAGGAAGGAACACGCCGGTGGTCTCCTCCTTCACCACCGCCTGCGCTGGTAGTAAAGCAGATGAGCGGTTTGCCAGAAACGCCTTCGTCGAGAAGAGAAGTCGGAAATGAGGAATGCGATGGCTCATTGTCTCTAGACATCCGGGAACATCCGTCAGTCGCCATGCCAAGACTGGATATTGGAATTCATGCGGACAGAGTATTTAAACTGGAAGTGTAAAAATTGAATGCCTTTTCAATGATGTCTCAAAATACCTCTCTTGGAACTTGATTGGGTCTGTTCCATTTTGAAAAGGTAGTTGCTTTATTTCAAATTAACTTCAACTTTTTTTCATTTTCTTTTCCATGAACTTTAGGTTATATTTGGCTACTATCGAGTTAATATATGGCGCATGTTATATATTGATTCGGTAGTAATTTTTATTAATGAATGTGTCTCGTTATTAATAACTATCCTCTATGAATTGGATATACTCCTCGATTGAGTATTTGAGAGAAAGATAGTTAAAGATATAACCGGGATCGACGAACATTTCATTAAGTGGATAAAAGCAAAACCAATTCCTCATCTCTTTTAATTAAACTCATATAAGTCATTCATCTTAGTGTTAAATTTATTAAATCAAATCAAACTTAAAACCACTCTTGTTACTAGTTACATAAAAGAGAAGTATTCATTTTCCTATGGATACGAACCTTACTTCGTTATACTACGTATAATCGTAGTATTTATTTTGAATGCACACCACGACAAAGTGCTCGTCAATCCCATAGAGAATATTTATAAGGAAATAATGGGTTGGACCGCTAATATGGGTCTGATAGGCCCAACTACATAAAACTTTGTAATCTAGTAGATACAAGTGACATATATACTATATAATAATATAAATGATATCCGTAAAGCCTATGTGGGCCGCTGTCCAGACCCAATAGTCGTGAGACCAAGGTGTCGAGTCTATATACTCTATCAAGAGTCTCTCACACCCTGAGGCGACGAGTACTCGTGGCGAAAGGGGGTAGAGCTATGTGTTGACCTATCATTGTCTGGTGGAGTATACCGATGTCGCTGCTGAGGTGCCTCTCCCGGATTCCAGAGCTGATGTGGTCAGAAGTGTTAACAGCATTGGGAGCAGAGGTTGTGAGCATCCGGGAAGCTTTGAGTTGGCTAAAAGAGCATGATTTTACTTCGGTTGAGATTGAGTCTGATGGAGCGGGGGCGATTGCAGAGATTTTAAGTGGCTCAAGCTATTCTTTGGTGGGACTTTTATGAGACGACATACGAGATTTGGCGAATTCTTTTTCGTTTATTTCATTTTGTCATGTGAGGCGATCAGCGAACAAGCCAGCTCATTTGCTTGCTAGGGCGGCTTGTTCCTTTTCTGATTCGCAGCATTGGGCTGATTATCCTCCTTCTTTTATTGTTTCGGCTTTAGCCAACGATTTGATTAATGATAATTTAGTATCTTTTTTTCAAAAACAATAGTTGTGATTAATTCATAATAGAGATTTATTACATTCAAAAGATTAATACGAATTTTAACTCAGATAAAATTAAAACTACCCAACACTAGTTGAAGAGTAATTCAATCCTTCTAACTAAATAATTAAGAGATTACATACGGAGTATTATTATCTCACATCAATACGTTCATGAAGACTCACTCAAGCTGTTTTTAAGTAACGCTATTCACAAAAATACATTACTCTCTACACTTAAATAAATATGAAATTCACTCTATCAACACTTTGTAAGTTTCTCAATGAATAGTAAAAGTAATACGGTTGGTATTTGCCAATGTTCTAAAATGCGCTAGGCGTTAGGAGGGCGCCAACCCAGGCACTCAGCTCCTAGGCGGACGCCTAATCGGGGACTAGTCGGAGACATAAAAATTGCATTTTTATCTATATTTTTGCATAAATATGATAAGTAGTATTACATTTTGTGTGTATAAAATATATAACTACACATATATTAACAAACATGAATGATAGAATTGTCACATTTAATCATATGTAGTACGTAGTATATGATAACTAATTACTTAACTTCATTATGTTATAAATATAAATAATAATAAAATTTAGGTATATATACAAACATATATAGTTTTTATCTTAATTTTCAACTTTTTTTTTTGACAAGAAAATGAAGACAATTATTCTCATCCATAATGTCTGTTTTTGAGCAAATCACATGGCCGGATTTTATGATGGGAAACTAACATGAATTCCATGAATTTAAATCCAACAACGGCTATCAAGACTAACATGCATCAACTTAGAGATAATGAACACATTTTAAAGATGACAATTAACTTAATGTATCTATAGCAGCATCAGTATTATTATTACTATTATTATTAGTAGCTGATTTACTCCGTGGAGAATTTCATGCCTTTCTCCTAGCTTCTGACAGTCAACAAAGAAGGAATGGAATCCAGGTTGGGAGATGGATTTTTGTTAGAAGCATCTGTTTTCCCAGAGGATGTCTTACTGAAAGCTCTCATTGGACTAGCAAGTGCCCATCCCCAGGTCTTGATCCTACCATGAGCTAGCTGATGATGATGAACCGCAGATGAAGATGGTGTTGGTTTCCCATTCCCATTCTCTTCAGAAGAAACCCAATCTGATGATGAAGATGAAGAAGCAGATATCATCATGAACCCACTAAAGATTCCTCCACATTTCACTCTTTCCCTTATGCAGTCTTGCCCTGAATTTTCAACTTCATTTCTTTATCTTAATTTTCAACTTCATTTCTTTATATCTGTGGCTAAAGTTAAAATACTTATATCGCTTAAAAATTAAAAAGTAAAGTAATGTTAAGTTTGACAAATCTAGACGGCCTAGGCAACTGATTAGGCGCTCTAGACGGGCAACTAGGCGCCATAGGCGGACGACTAATTCACTTAGACGACAAACCAATTAGTCGGAGCGTCTAAAAGAAAAGCGGGGCGCCCGGCCATCACCTAGCGCCTAGACGGGGACTAGTCGGACGCCTATAACGATTTTTAGAACAAATGTACTATTTGGTAATGACTAAATGAGTAAAAGTAATACTATTGGTAATGACTAAATGAGTATTTAGTAAACATTAGGGAGATTATTTATGCCCCCAATGAATGTAGACCAAGGAAATATGCTTCTTCGTACCAAAGATCTAAGACAACTTATGAGACATGTACTCTAATTTTCATATACGTCCATTCACAGCACACATACACTAAGTGAAGCCATCAGACCAATTTTCTTTCTTTTTTCTTTCTAGGTAACATAATTTAAAAGCATGGGTACATGACTCACAAGAGATGAATGGAGCTAACTTCATTGCTCAGTCATGATGGAACCTACTCATACATTTATATTTCGTAACAGCCATCAGCAGAGTATTGATCACTAAAACTCAGACAATCTATTCTTCCCGGTCACACCATGTAACTTTAGAAGGTTTGGGCATACTTTGGTCCATATAATTTTTTATTCTTCAAGAGATCGGTATATGAATAATCTGTCATAGCCCCTCTGATCCGAAGGTATGGCAATCTTGGCAGCCACTTCTATTACTAACTGAGGTAATTGGCGGGCAATTTCCTCACAGCATTGATAAGTTACCCCGCATGTTGAAATCTTCACAAATTGCAGCCTGTAAAAATGATGCATAAGAGAACGCAAAGCTGATTCACCGAATTGGAAATCAATTATCTCAAGCTTTAGTAAATTAGGGCAACCGTTGAGCACAAATTTCAGCCCCATTTCATTCTTTCCATCAACACCAACAGACAAAGTACGGAGTGATTTCCCATACTGTCCAATGTAACATAAAGCCTTATCTGTCAATAAACCAGATGTGTGGAGCCGTCTAAGCTTCTTACAGTTCATAAGAATCCCTCCAAACCCTTCATCCATGGAGTCCAGCTTATAGTAGTCCGGACTTCGACGGACCAACAGAGCTGCATTAGTCATTCTCTTGCAGAAATATAATATGTACTCCCTCCGTCCCAGGGAGAAGTTCTCACTTTCCTTTTTTGCTAGTCCCAACAAAAAGTTCCCATTTTCCTAAATGGAAAGTTATCTTACATCAAAACAGTGTCAAACAGTGCAAAACAGTGCCAAACAGTGTCGAAACAGTGCCAAACAGTGTCAAAACAGTGCCAATAGTATAACTTTTACTATTGGCCGATGGAAACAAGGTCATCTAACCTAAGTTTATTCAAAGAAGGAGATCTTATTACCAGCTGCTCCAAAGCTTTAAAATTCACACACCACAGAGACTCTTCAAAGATCAAAGACTCAAGAAATATGTTATCCTCAGGGAAGTATGAAATTGTTTGCCATTTTTAGACTTATCAGGTTTATCTGCCAACTTTTTCACCAAACACGTAAGTCGCGCGCTGAATTGTGTAATAAGCAGAACAAGTAAGGTTGGAGTTACTTTTCGGCCTGTATTAGCTGAAGTTACTATAAATGACCATTTTAGCTATTTTACATATAATTTTTTCTTTATTTTATGAATAAGATATATTTTTAAAATATTTTTTTCTTAAATCATCAGAATCAGTCAATGCAGCCACTTCAGCCAGAATTTCATAAAATTCAACAGAATCAGGCAAAACAACCAATTTTCGTGCTACCAAACGGGCTCTAATTCTTTTGTGTCCTTTAATAAATACAATTAACACTATTAAAGATTTAAGTGGTTCTGAAATAATCTGAGCACAGATCTATTAACAAGAATGAGCTAAACTTGTACATTACATTCAATCTTTTAAGACCCACTACACCTACAGAAGTGCTTGTTCTTTCTACTCAAAGTGACCAAGAATAAGGGGTCTAGTCGTTGAGTTAAAGGCACAAGGATCGGATTATGCGAGGTTGTTGCTTCTCTAAATTACATATTTACCTGTTTGAATGCTAAGGAACTAATTTGCGCCTGCTTATTATGTTGATGTTCTCTCAATCTCGACCTTATTTGCTTAAAAATTTGTTCTAAATAGGATTAAAAACAATATGGTCTCCCTCAGTGGGAGTAGTTTCTCTCCGATAGGAGTCATTAATGTCATCCTAAAATGGTACTCATAGAGTATATGGGTCCAGACCCCATGGCCCACATACTCAGAAGGTCAAAGACACTAGAGAGGGACATCCATGTGGCACTATACGGTCAGGTGGGTCCCGCAACGGCCAGAACCAGAGTTACCCAGAACGTTGCCCAGAGATGAAGTGGGCCCCATCAGCCGGGGTCGCATCGGCCAGGGGACCG